CGCGCGCGCGCGCCCGGCGGCTCCGACCACCCACCCGGAAGTGACCTGCCACCGGAAGTGCCTCTCAGGGCCGCGCGGTCCCGGCTCAGGGCCGCCTCTGGGACTCCAGCTGTTGCCACAGACCGAAAGAAGTCGGTGGCAAGACGGGCACCAGAGGAGGGGGGGCTCCGGACGGAGACACTTGGGAGAGAACGTTGCTGTCGCCCGGCCGCTGCGCACCCTGGGAAAGGTAGTTCGGTGCAACCTGGCATCTGGACTACAATTCCCAAAATGCCCCGGGAGCGGGCGCACCTCCGGACGCGGTCTCCGCAGCCTGGAGGTGGTAGTGGGGTGGTGCAGAAGTGGGGCTTCGAGTATTTAAACACACCCGGTCATGACGCTGGAGACTAGTTTCCCAGCTGCATGTCCCACTCTCTGGAGCTATTTTATCTGGCTTGGCCTCGTGGACCGAGGCACTCTGGGAATTGTGGTTTCAAACAGGTCTGGATTGACACCTGAAGGACGCGGCTTAACTGCCTCGCCCCCAGTTGTGCTTGGGAGTTCCCCGACGTCATGGGAGCAGAGGTACCGAAGGCGGGGGCGGGAGGGCGGTCATGGTGCCGGCAGGGAGCCGAGCAGAACCCCAGTGCTGAAGGAAGCAAAGCAAGTGTCTTCCCTCCCCCGACCACGATGAGAACTCTTGGGAAGCCCGAGTGTCGGAAAAGGAACTGCAGGAGGCCCGATGCTGGGAGCTGAGGGCGGGGGGAGGAATCTAGGGACCAAGGTACTGTCCGCCTTAAGGCTCCACCCCAATCCATGGCTCTCCGCGTACCCAGACCTGCCTGGTTCTCACCAGACACGTTCATGCGGGAACTTTAGACACACCTACTGCTTTCTCTTAGAGACTCCTTCACTTAGAAGATGCTGGGTTAGCCGGGCGTGGTGGCGCACGCCTTTAATCCCAGCACTCGGGAGGCAGAGGCAGGCGGATCTTTGTGAGTTCGAGGCCAGCCTGGGCTACCAA